AGGCTGGCAGCTGGTGTCGCGCCCGGCCGTGCGGCCGAAGCCCGGCTTTAATTGTGGTGAACTCGCCGGTCTAAAGCTTCCAGCTCTCGGCGAGATAGGAAGCGCCTGAAAGGAGAGCTTAAATACTTGCCTTGTCTCGCCATTGCAAAGGGGGAGGCTCTGGGTGTTCGCTTTGGTTCAGCGGGGGGCTTTTTGTGTTCCGGGCGTGTTGAAGAGGTACAAGAGGATAATAAACTCAACCCTCTGTGGCAGAAAAAGGACCCGGACCGCTTGGCTCGCTCTCCCCGCTGCCAGCTGAGGGTTAGTGCAGTCACTGCCTACCTCATCTCTTGCAGTGAAATGAATTGGAAAGCCCTGAAGGGCTTCTGTGTGCCCAAGTGTTGGCGATAGACTCCCTTCCAGCCCTGTTAAGTTGTTAAATCTAAACTAATTGAAGAGGAGACTAAAAAAGCTGAGGGATGGTAAATCTTCTTCCCTTTCTTTTTTTTCCCTTAATGGAAAACGTGTAAAGTTGGACTCACCACACTTTTCCCCCTCCCTCCTCCTTTCTCTCCAAAGCTGTCGTGTCTGTCGATGGCAAGCCGGTGAGACTTCAGCTCTGCGACACAGCTGGTCAGGTCAGTGAAGCCATTTGATTTAAGTGACAGCGGGAGGGGAGAAGTTGTTGCGCAAAGTAGTCCTGCTAATGACTTCATGGATTTGAAAGGATTCCCAGTGTTTGATCATCTGATTAAACTGCTATCATTTTCACTGCTGCTTAACCTGCTGCTTTGCCCGGTGTCTGTTGAAGAGTGGGGGACGTGCTGTGCCTCCGTATAGGGGCTGGGCACAGGCTGCTGCTCTGCTGGCTCAAGCTGCTGCTCTGCTTAGCCTGACTAGAAGGGCTGAACATATTGGGGATTCAAGGGCCACCTGGTTTTCTCTTTGAGCGGTTGTCACTGTGTTTATTTTTGCTAAATACTGGCTGTTTTAAGAATTACGTGTTTGGGATGTACGCATGCAAAGCATCCACAGCTGTAGGTGTCTGGAGATGGAGACTGTGTTTTTGAAGGGGCAGAAGCTTAAGGGAGAAAAAAGTCCGATTGGGTGTTGTCCGTGGAGACTTCATATTTGCCATTCCCACCGCCTGAAAAAGTGCTGCCGCCCCAAAGCCGAGGTTTGCTGTAGTCTTAAGTCCTGAAGGGTTGAGGGTGGCTGATGCCTCTCAGCTCCTGATACGTAAAAATAACCCATTTCTTACTGCATTATATTTTCTGCAAGTCCCTGGCTTGTACCACCCTGAGCAGTGTGCAACACTGCTTGCCAGGGGTTGAGTCTGGATAGCCAGAAGTAGCCAAAAGTATTTTGCTACCTAGCTTGTGTTTGAAGGCAGTGGGAGTTACGTTCCTGCGCAGCTTTGTGGATCTGGGTCTACGCCTTCGCCAAAACCACGATGAAAAATCTCAGTGGCCTTAACATACAAACCTATTTAGATGAGTTGTAACTGGGCGCCCTACTTAGGAAAGGGTTTTGAAGGGCTGTGCAGTCCTAGACAGCAGCGTAGAAGTCTCATGTGCCCTACAAACTGATGCTAAAATCTTACAAGCAGCCTTCTGCAGGTAATGATACGAAGTAGAAGAGCAGAACTGTCCCATGCTTTCTTGCCTTGCTGAAGGGACAGGCTGGTCCCGCCGCAGCCTTGGCTGTGTGTGTTCACATGCAGAGTGTGGCAGGTGAAATTGCCATCGGGTGACAGTCGGTGGACAGGCAGCGCCTGTGGAAATGCAACCAGAAGCTACAGGAGGGACGGGCAGGCCCAGTCACCTCTTGCCTTCGCTGCCATTAATGGTTAAGATGTTTGCTCTGGCTGCCCCGGTGCAGCTGGAATGGGTAGAGTCACTGCCTTAAAAATGAAGGGGTTATCTAAACCGACAGAAGTCATCCCGAATAAAAGATACTTCACTGGATACTTTGGTAAAACAGTGCTGCAGTGAGATGGCTGCTGAAATCTGCAGCAAAAAAAGGACTCCAGGCAGAAGGAAACTGTATTTCAGTGTCTCCAGCCCAAAGAGGTGTAGAGTGCCTGCAGGTCATGCACCTACCACTGAAACTGCAGAAGTGTACTTGGAATATAAAGGGCACTATTTCATCTGGATAGAAACCCTTACGGTCTGGGTTTGGCTTTCAAACGCATTGAATCGAGCCCTTTTGAGGTTTATCACGTAGGAAGAAGAGGCAATTACATGGCAAGGTGCCTTTCTGTAAGCGGCCCTGTCGTTCAGAGCTGCAGAGCGGCAGCTCTCAGTAAATGGGGGGTTTCTGTCGAGCCAAGCGGTGAGAGCCTGGTTTCCTCTGAGGCTTAATCTGAGAATCAAGAGAGCTAATGAAGCTTGCTTTCTTGACTCGTGTTTTATAAATCGCTGTGTCTCTTGGAGATACTGCTGGAAGAAATTCATTCAAGCGAAACGAGACTTCTGAGGCTTCCAGGGGGCTTTAAACCACGTATCCTGGGCCTTCAGAGGCTTTAAAGCAAAATTTCACATCTCGAAAATTAACAGGGGACTTGCAATTCAGCAGTAAACTGCTGGTACCAGAGAGGTGTTTTCAGCTCTGTGTGTTCTTTGCACTTTCAATTCAGAGCTTTTGAGAACATGGTCCGTTTTAATTAAAATGTCACTGCCGCTGAGGCAAATCCTACCTGTTCAGGCTGCTAGTGTTACCCTGCTTTTACCCTGCTGTCAGCATAAAAGCAGCCTGCCTGGAGTTAACCCTTGCTTCTTGCTGCATTCTTTGCTGAGGGTCAGCATGCCTTTGTTACCATGAGGTGTTTGGCTTTCTTGTGGCTAGTTCCTGAAGCTGAAAAAGGGCCTTGCTTTGCTGGAGTTTGCACTAAAAGGAAAAAAAAAACCAACAAAACCCCAAGAAAGGTAGGCTGGGAGGCCTGTTTGCAGTTTGTTTGATGTGGTATGGGTGGGAGGGAAAGGTAAAGCTCTTACTCTATGCCATTGGCATGTTAAGCCTGCACATTGTGAGTCGTTATTGCTGCCATCAGATTTAAATCCCTGGGCACAATGGCAGGGAAATTTTTCCCATATCCTGTAGGATGTTGTTAAGTAGTCACCGGTTTAAAAGCCGATTCCAGGAAAGGTACGCTTGCTGCCGCTTGTCTGCTCCGCTCTTGCCTGTATCTGGAGGTAGGGGTGTTGGCAGAGCAGCTTTGAGGTACACGGGTGCTCGTCACTGACTCACCCCTGTGAGAGGTGGACCTGTAGAAAGTACCTTCTCCCTCCCATACTTCGATTCTTGGCTTCGTCACTTGTGTGCCGTAACCTGCTTCCCGCAGCATCGCCCCTTTGCTGAAATAGGGCAGAAGGCCCGTGTGCAAAGAGCGAAGGAAATATTTAAGCACTTGAAACAAGCTGTGGCATTAGGCAGAAAATCTCAGCGAAGCCACCACCTTCATCCTGCGTGCCTGACAGTGGCAGGGTGCCTGCTGGCTCGCAGCCGTGAGACCTCAGGCTGGGCATGGGCGACTTCCGCTCATAACACACCTCGCTGGGTGGTCTGGGTGCTCATGTTGAGGTGCCTCTCAAGATGACAGCACCAGGTGATCCTCAGCTTCCCCAAAGGTCAGTGGTGGGCTAGAGCTGGGAGCGTACCGGGGCGTCCTCCAGGGTTGATGTGCTCTTTCCGTTGGGTGCTAACGCAATTTCGTTCCGTGCAGGATGAATTTGACAAGCTCAGGCCTCTGTGCTACACCAACACGGACATCTTCTTGCTGTGCTTCAGCGTGGTGAGCCCCTCGTCCTTCCAGAACGTGAGTGAGAAGTGGGTTCCCGAAATCCGATGCCACTGCCCCAAGGCGCCCATTATCCTGGTTGGGACGCAGTCGGACCTCCGGGAGGATGTCAAAGTTCTCATCGAGCTGGACAAGTGCAAAGAAAAGCCGGTCTCGGAGGAGGCTGCGAAGCTCTGCGCCGAGGAAATAAAAGCTGCGTCCTACATCGAGTGCTCTGCTTTGACTCAGAAAAACCTCAAGGAGGTCTTTGATGCGGCCATCGTGGCTGGTATTCAGTACTCGGATACCCAGCAGCAACCAAAGAAATCCAAGTGTAGGACTCCAGACAAGATGAAAAACCTCTCCAAATCCTGGTGGAAAAAATACTGTTGTTTTGTATAGGGGTTGCAAGGACCCGAGTGCTGCTCTGAGGAAATCGAATAGAGGCTATATTAGCTGAATTCTCATTCTGTGTCGTCCCGAGTGTATAGTGTAGATCTGTATGAATGTGTATATGTTGCTATTGGATATATCGGTTGCCCTTTCGAGGGTGGCAGAAGGATTCTTAGTTACATAATTGCTGTAAATCAGGTCTGGCATCCAGTTTCGTGACTAAGACCTCTCATTAAGGAAGAAGAGGGCCACGTGTCTGTGAGGGTGGACAGATTTGTCCAAAGGATTCGACTTCTTGTGTTGTAAGGTGTATGCGACGGGGAGGAGCACACCAGAGGCCTTTGCTGCCAGGGCTTCACAGGAGGAACGTGCGAGCGACTGCAGAAACGTAGAGCTCTGTACGTGGACGGTCAAAGGGAAAAATAACACTGTGCCTCCTAACTGACATTTGTAGCTTTAAAACCCCACTCCTGCTCTCTCGTCCGTGTCTTCCCAAGCCAACGCTCTTAGGGATCGCTTTAAAAAGAGTATGCGAGAGGTGTAATCTATACACAAATACCATGGTTGGAAAGGTCATGAATATACCTTCGGCATGGGGTGAGGGAACCTAATCCCTTATGGAGCTGACATCTCGTTTGTCACCTCCTGACTGTGTGAAAGTCCTTTCTGTCCTCCTTCCCCTGCCCTTCCTAGGAAGCCACGTGGAAGCCTGAGGAGCATGACCAAGCTTTAACTCGCTACCTCGAGCAGTGGCGATTTCCTCTGTGTTTTTGCAGACATGACGACAGTTCATGTATTTCAGCTGAAAGGAATGTAAATGCTGTTATGTTGGGTTTTTTTTTTTTTTAGAGAGATGTAACAAATATCGGTGCAGCACCATGTAAACCACATCTGGTTTTAAGTCTACAGCCAAGAATTTCAGGATGCCCCTCCTTACCTTTTAAGGCTGCTACACAAATAACAGATCAGGCAGATCAAGATTTATAACAAACTAGACTCTAGAAACTGAGGCTGCTGTGTCCTCTTCATAGTGCTGTTTCCAACCAAGTTAATGTTTGCCTTCTAAAGGCAGTCGCTTGTGGTTGAATCTTGTCCAAGCTCATAGTCGTGAAATTGGCTGAGGCCACCCCGGAAATTTAACTGATTTTTTTTTTTCCCAGGTCAGTCCAACAGATAAACTGAAATGTGCCTAAAATGTAGCTGAGCGATCAACATAGTGCAGAGTTGAGTGTGACCTACTCTCTGACTAAATCTGGTTCCTACTAAACTAAGCCTAATTCCAGCCCCGGCGAGTTCAAGAGACCTGAGGGGTAACGTGACTCTCCACAAGAATCAGTATTTTAACTTACTCTGCAGAGGACATTTAGTTTGTGCTGTCTGTCTGTCTGTCTGCCTTTTTATGGCCCTGACTACCTTTCCCCCCAACCCCACCTTGATATTTCAAGATCAGATTATATTCTATTCTTTTTTTTTTCCTTCAGCCATAGCCTTGAAGTGACCTTTTTCATAGTCTTAAACTAAACTGCAGTGACAGAAAGCCGGAACCTTTGTTTCATCAGAAATGAATCAATGCCTGATATAAAGAAGAACTGTGGAAGCCATTTGAGTTGATAAAGCTGACCACAGTTTACCTCCTGGCCCATTAAAGAAAACGACACTATGTAAATGGATTCTGGGCTGTATTGGCATAGGCTCCACAGGCAGTATTTTTTCCTCCTCCACAGCAAACTGAGTGCAGAATGGGTAATGTTCCATCGCTGAAAACTTGAAAATGGGATGGAAATCTTTACCTAGGGTCTGATTCAATAAAAGTGTGTTGGCTTCTGCACTGGAACAGCCTGGAAAAAGAGTTTCCATAGCACAGAAGCTGGATGCATTTAACTTGGTTGCATCTGGTTGGTAATGGTTTAATGTTTACTGGTCATGAAGTTAACATCTGAGCCTTTATATTTCTTACTCAACTGCTTTGACAGGATTTCAGATATGCAGTCATACCGTCATCTTGAAGAAAAATGTAAAGCCAGATTTCTCTTGGGTGCTTTGCTTCTCTGTAAAATGGTCTCAGTCGATCAAAAATGTGGGTTTGGGGAGGAGACAGGCTTGAATCTGAGCAGCTTCCATTTGCAAAAATAACAAAATTTCTTCTGCAAGATCACACTGCTTTGTATCACGCCATACTGGAAGCAGTAGGTTATATTTTAAAAGCAGCCTGTTTCATAGTCTGGGGTAGCATATTACTTTTAAATGTAGCCAGCTGTGACTGTTTCTGAAAATGTGATGTATATACAACTTGTTATAGCCCTTTACTAGGTGTATGTAAACTGAGGTCTAATAACTTTATGAATACGGCTCTACATGGGGCTACACAGGGTCTAGGTTTTAGAAATATTACTTTTAAAATCACCAGTATTTTACGAGCGCAAGTGAAGGGGGAGATATCTCTATGTAGTCTATAATCTGATGTGCCTTATAAAAAAAAAACCTCTCTTCTGTTTTCTAAGTGTAGGCTATATTCCGAAAGAAATATTTCATGTGAGAATGATATAAATGAGGTATTTGGAAATAAATTCTGACCTGTGTATGCGTCTGCCTGTGCTGCCCGCTCGGGGAGGCTGGAGGGCAGTCCTTGGCCATGCATCGCGCCGATACCCGGCAGGGAGGAGGCAGCTGCGCAGCCAGCCTGGGGCTGCACTCCCAGTGCCCCGGCAAAAGGCCTCTGTGGTTAAAAAATACAGGCTTTCCCCTGCACTGCCCCGTCCCCAGGGGGCTGGGCTGGGTGGGAGGGGTGCGATGGCGGGCGTTCTGCCTCCCCAGCAGCATGGCAGCCTCTTGCTGCGGCCCCCGAGGCGCGGGCTCGTCGTGCCTGGCCCCCAAAAGCAGGGTGGGCGGCAGGAGCACAGCCCATCCGAGGACAGCTGGGGGGATACCGAGACGGCGTTTCACCTGCCGCATGTTGCGCCACGCATGCCCCAGGGGAGCCAGAGAGGGCATTTTTGGAAGAGAGGACCCCGTTCCCTCTTGGCACCAAGAGTCTTGTCACCCCTTCCCCAGGTCCTGTCCCCTGTGCTGGGGCACTGGGACCAAGACGTGTGAGGCTGGAGGCTGTTCGTGCCTGGCTCCTGGGTGACCATGGCACAGGGGCCTTCCACCCTTCGGTG